TCGACTCTAGAGGACCCCTGTTTCACAACTGTGTTGCACTTGAAGAACTTGTGATCAACAAAAGTGCAAAGATTGAAACAAACTGCTTTGTAAACTGTACATCACTCACAAAACTTGAAATCCCAAATTATGAGAGGAAAGTCGAGTTTTTGGTGACACAGGAAGACCAGAAGGTGATTGAACAATTTAACTATGTGTGCACACAAATTAGCGTTTGTTTTGATGCAAATAATTGCAAATCAAAACTTGTAGAATTCACAACAAATCCAAATATAAATACAAAACAAGATGCGTTTTTTTGAGTGGGTTGGTGTTTGCAAAAACAAAGAAATTACGAAGATTGAAGTTCCAGTTAATGTGACTAAAATAGGACTCATGATGTTCGCAAATGACTACATCAAAAATCTGAATTTGGGGAATATCAAAGAAATTGATGAGTATTGTTTTGGGAGTGCACTTGAGGAAGTCACAATTCCAACAACACTCACAAAAATAGGTCACAATTTATTCACAAAATGTAATAATTTAAGAAAAGTTGATTTGTGTGGTAAAGGGAGTTTTAGTGGGGAAGTGACTTTTGAGGAGAAGAAGAAACTTGAGAAATGCGGTGTTCATTGTGACAAAGTTGTTTTTACATATAAAGATTACTCACAGATGAAATTTGTGACCACTTGTGATGTACTTTCGTTATCGGGAGGAAACAACTTAATACAATCACTTCCTTCAATTGTGATCCCAGACACTATACAAGTCATTTTCAACAACTGTTTTGCGAATTGTATGTATCTTGAAGAAATTGTGTTGCCTTCTAAACTCACTGAAATTTGCAATTTTGCGTTTTTTAAATGTTATTCACTCAACAAAATTGTGTTACCAACACATTTGCAAAATATTGGGAAGTCTGCATTCATGTTTTGTGCTTCTTTAAAAGACATAGACATTCCATCAAGTGTCACTTTCATTGGAAAATCCGCGTTTGAGGGGTGCATCAAACTACAAAAAGTTGTATCTCCAATTATTGTTTTCAATTCACCAAAAGTGTTCAAAAGGTGTTGTTCACTCACTAAAATTGATGTCTTACATTCGAGAGAAATGAACATAACAATGAAGAAAACTTTTAAATATTGCTATCAATTGTCTTCAATAGACATTCCAAAGAGTGTCATCAAAATAGGAGATTACACATTTAAAAACATGTATTGGTTAGATGAAATATCAGTACCACAAAATGTTGTCTTGATTGGTAATAAAGCGTTTTTACATTGCAATTTACTCACTCAAATAGTCTTTGGACATTCACTGCAAGAAATTGGCGCGTTTTGTTTTAAAAATTGCAGCAAATTGGAACAACTTGATTTTCCAAAGTCGCTCACTTTTATTAAGAAAAACGCCTTCATACATTGCGACAAATTAAGTTGTCTGCATTTTGAAGGAAAGTTTCCAAAATGCCAAATTGACACTTTTAACAGTTGTAATAACTTGAAGAATATAACGGTTGAAGGTAATAAGATCAATGAAATAGAACAACCAGTCACTTTCACAATTGCAGACAATTTTGAAAAACACCAAATTCACTGCAAGAATGTAATTTTTACAAAAAGTGATATTCAAAAGAATTTAAAAATTGTCAATTTTAACGGAACAACAATCGGAAAAATTCCACTTAATGTAACCAAAGTTGGTGATGGTTGTTTTAGAAATTTTAAAAACACAAATTGCATTGAAATACACAAAAATATAAAAAGTATTGGAAGACTGTGTTTTTGTCAATCGTTGACTCGAGAAAATGTGATGTTTGAAGACGCAGACAATGTCATTATTTCTGAAAACGCATTTGATAATTAACATTTCAAGTATAGTTGTAGATTAAGTATCAATTTAATTATAAAATCAGTTTTGTAATTATATTGTATTGGATATACAATACAATGATCGATATAATACTTATCGATCATAAGTATATATAATATATATTTATAATACATACTCATAGAACATTTTTAATTTAAATAAATACAAATTGTTGTTCATTTCAAGTTATTTTCAATAAATTAACGTGTTTATAAATGTAAAGATATGGGTTTAAAATGAATTAGAATGTTAAGTGAACAAAAATTATATTTAATTAGAATAAAAATTGGTATTTAAAATAAGTTGTTGTTTTTAGTTGTGTGTTGTGAGTTGTATTTATTAAAAAACAATAACCAAATCATTGTAATTACGAGCTTAATTTGTTTTTGTTTGCAAAACCACGACTTTTTCAAATTTTGTGTTGTCGAAGCACCCCATCCCAATATTCTTTATGTGTTCCAGATTTATTGTGTTTAGTGACACACAATTATCAAAACAGAAGGGGGTTAACTCTGTTATTGACGATGGTAATATGACATTCTCAAGTTGTGTTGCACACGCAAAACAAAAATTACCAATTTGAGTAATGTTATTTGGTATTTCAATTTCAGTAATTGTTGTGTTATTAAAAAATGCACCTTCATCAATGCGATGAACATTTTTATTTTTCAAAATATCAATTCCAAATATTTTTAAATCGTTAAATTTCACTTTTACGTTGTCACAAAAAATGCTATTCTTTTCAAACTGTTTGTGAAGTGTATAACTGACTTCTCCATTATAATTGTTAATCTTTTCACCTTCAATTTGTATTTCGGTGAGTGATGTACATCCTTCAAATACATCATTTCCAAATTTTATATTTTTGTTTTTAAAATTGACACTTTGCAGATTTGAGCAATTCATGAAACAGCCGTCTTCCATTATTACAAGTGTTTTTGGGAATGTTAAATTCTCAAGTGAATAACAGTTTTTGAATGCGAATTTCTCAATTGTTTTAAGATTTTCTGGCAATATTATTTCTTTCAAGTTATAGCACTTCATAAACGTACAATGAGGAATACATTCAACATCTCCAAAACTTTCAAATTTAACAAGCGAATTGCAACACCAAAAGATTCCTCGTTTTAAAAATTGAATTTTTGGAATTGTTTTTAAATTAAAACAATTCATAAAACACTGCGAGTTATAAACAACTTCCTGTGACTCACAACACACACTTTCAAGCGAATAACAAAATGCAAAACATCGTTCACCAACTTTTTTAAGACTTTTTGGGAGTGTTACACTTTTTAATGAATAACAATTATTAAACACTTCATAACATATTTTTTCTAATGTGTTTGAAAATGTAACACTTTGTAAAAATTGTGCACCACTAAAACATTCACCAGTGATTTTCTTTGTAACCAACGACACGTCCACGTCTTTGAAATAATCGCTATTACAAAAGCACCTGTCAAGAACTTCAATTTTTGATGGTATCACAAACTTGTCATTATAATTAAAATCTGTTAAAATATAGCTTTTCAATGAATTTGTATTATTTAAAATAACATTTTTATCTTGGTTGTAAATATATTTAATCACAGAAAAATCAACCTTTGTACCATACAAGTTATAATCATGTATAATGTAATTGACATTGTGAAATGTGTACCCAAACGCTTTCATTTGAAGATAAAACTCGTAACTGACAGCAACTGTGTCGAAAAAGAATTTTTTGAATTGTTCAATGTCATGCACGTTTGTATTGTCTGATTTGTTTAAACAGCTACAGAATGATATTTTAGTGAGTTTGTTACACTCATCCAATATTAAACTTTCAAATTTTTTGATTGTTGTAGGAAATACAATTTCACACAAATTTTTGTATTTTGAGAAAAATCTACAACATATTTTTGTGACACTTGATGGGACTTCTATTCTTGTACTATTAAGGGGAAACTCGACGTTATAATTCAGTTTTGTTGTATTTGGTGTAACATTGTGGATATTTTCTTGGTCTTCAGTTTCTTTTCCAATATCAAAAGTGCGTCCATCTTCAAATACAATCGAATTCAAATTGGTGCATCCAGCAACAACACGTTTTCCAATTTTTGTAACACTTTTTGGGATATAAAGTGACGTCAAACTCGTTGAATCCGAAAAGGCTTCTGTTCCAATTTCACGCACATTTGGTGGCACGACCAATTCTTCAAGTTTTGACCTTGAAAAGCAACACTTTGGAATTTTTGTGATAGTAGATGGTATTTGTATTCTATTTGCGTTGTTCACATAAAAATTAGATTCATTTAACAAAAAGGCATTCTCAGAGATCAAAAGCTTTTCAATTGGATTATTGAAGTTGTAACATCCGATGTCTGCTTTAACAATAGTAGTAGGAATGTACACTCTTGGGTGTTCACTCAAATAATTAGAATCATTGTCAAATATGTCCAAATCCCCAAGATGAACGTAATCAGCGTGATTAGAAACATCACATAATGTGTCACAAAAGTTGTCAAATTTAAACACTTTCTCAACAATTTCTTCGCTTTTCATTACATTCAAAACTTTAATTCCAAGCCTCATAAATATTTCCTTTTCACTTTCAGTTGCAGTGTACACGTGTTTCATATAAGAAAATGGAACATCTAATTTGGTTAGTGAAGTGCATTGTTCAAAACAGCCGCCATCTTCAAAGATAACATTGTCATTAAAAACAAGTTCTTTCAATTGTTCACATTTCTCAAATGCAAAACTTCCAACTTTTCGAACTTTTTGTGGAACGTCAAATTTACTCAGTTTTTTACAATTCGAAAAAGCATTTTAATCAATGACTTCCAAGTTCGTAGAAAGAGTAATTTTTTCAAGTAAGTTGCACTCTGAAAACGCGGAGTCTGCGATGATCTCTACGGTGTTGTCCATCACAACTTCTTTGAGATGCTTACAATCATAACACGTCATACGGGGTATACACGTTTTACCACAAAATTTGATACTTGTGAGTGTATTTCTAGAGAATACAAGTTTGTTGATAAAGACCTTCTTATCAACTGTAAAATTATTGAAAGCACATTCATTAAAAGCACGATATCCAATCAACGTAATTTGTGTGCCAAAACTTACAGAAGATAGTGATGTACATCCGCTAAAACATGAGTCTGGAATGAACTTAAGCATTTTTGGGAGTTTAATTTCTTTCAAATTTATGCAATCGTAAAATGAGTAATTACCAAGTGTCGTGAGATGTGGCGGCAAAACAATTTCTGTGATATTCGAGCAACCATAAAATGCGTATTGAGAAATTTCAATGACTGAGGTTGGAAGAATTATTGAATGTACATCACAGTTTTCAAATGAATTTTTTCCAATTTTCTTGACAAAGTTTGGGATTTTGCCGTCAAAAGCGATTCGGTCTTCTTTTGTAAAAATAGATAAAGGGCAAGAGTTGTAATTTTTTAACTCAAATAAACAATCTTTTGCGCATTTTGAATAATTAAAAAGTGATTTTTCGGTGTTTAGTTTCATGTCAAAGGGGGAGAAAAATTGCTGGGTTTGAATAAATTTAAAAAGGTTTTTTGTTTTTGGAGTGATTTGGATTGGATTCATACGAATGCGGTCAAGTGTATATTGATACTTCTTACACACCGAAATAATATTTATGAAATCGTCATACTCTTTCAAATAATTCAAAACAATTTGCATGGAATATACGTCTACTCGTTTTGACATGTGTTATTATAATCAGATCTTTAAAAAAATAAATTTTGATTCATGTGTTTTGAATTGATTTTAATGTTTTTTATAACATTAAAAATTTAATTTTTGCTTTTTCATCAGTAAACAGAGACTATATTAAAGTAAATAAAAGCTAGTCATATAGTTTTCAAAAGTTATCAAAAACGGTTGCAGATTGGATTCATTCATGGTTCTTTTATGTATCCTCATTATTGTGAAATTAATTAAAGATTAAAACATCAAAAACAAATGTAAACTTTTACTTGATGAACAATGGAAAATATATAAATATAAACTTAAAGTTTTCTTTTGGATAATTATTTCAAACAATTTATCAATCTTTGAAATATAGTTTTTTGGTTCAAAACAAAATTACTATAATATATTATTATTCAAATTAATATTTTAATCAATGTAAAATTAATAAATTGTTATTTATTGGTAGAATAATAAGCAAATTGTTCCCGAGTTTGTATGTAAAATAATAGTAAATATTTTAAACATACTTTATTTTTTTTAATATTTTTTAATTATTGTTTATTATTAATAATTTGTTTTTTTTCTTTCGGCATTTTTGAAAAAATGACATTTTCTATATGATAATTTTAATATTTTATTCCATGTAAAAATAAATTGATTTTAAATGATGTTTAACACTTTTCTAACCGAAACCATATTTTTAAAAAAGTTAA